GGCTTATCCATTTGTTTTCACCGGCTGGGGGGCGTTTTGAAACGGGCTTGACAAAAACCAAGGCGGAGAAAAACAGGACCTTGCATTGAAAACCGGCATAGTCTCTATTGTTGGTGCAAGAAGTTCCGCCGGCGAGCGGAAAAACGGAAAGGAAGGGGACTTCGTGGGGGTGTGTGTATGTTCAGACTCGCCGGGGAAGTTTTCCCCTCCTCGTTCCGTGCCAGGACTTGGCGAGAGGCGGTTTCCCATTTCCTCCGCCCGGCCCCGGTTCACACGGAAGCCCTTTCCCACCTCCGAAAGAAGGGAGGGCGGGGGCAGGCGGGGAGCCAAGCCCGCGGCTGGGACACAACTCCTCGGCCCAGCTCCGGCTTCGGGCCGCGGGGGCGCTTTCCGTGGTCCTGAGCGCCACTCACCTGATAGAGGGTATTGACGTCCAGGATGGAGCTCATGGCCGCGGCGCGGGTTCGATCCGGCTGGGTCCGGGGCGGCGGCGGCGGCGGCGGCGGCGGGGCGGCTGTGCTTGGTCCCCCGAGGCGCGGCTTCCAGCTCCTCTCGGGCGTCTCCCTGGGCTCGCTGGCTAACGCTGGCCCGCTTGGGGAAGCCCGAGGCCGGGCGGAGGATTTTATGAGCCCCGGTGGCCCCGCCCCACGCGATGAGCTCATGGCCCCCCCGGGGGAGGAGGGAGGGAGAAGGGAGGGGAGGGGCACCGGCGAGGACGAGCCGGCCCTGAGCGAGGCGCGCGCCCGTCGGCGGAGGCGCGCAACCCTCCGACGGAAAGGCTGGCTGGAGGAGGCGAGCGGGCCGCCGGGCGGCTTGACGTGCTCCCCGTTTCGCAATGCTGGCCGGGAGGGGGAGGATGATGGACGCTGGAGTGGCAAGGAGGAACGCGTTGAGCGACCAAAACCAGGAAAGGCTGCGGGAGCGCAGGAGCGACGTTTCCCCGCACGGCTGGAGCGCCTCTTGTCGGGGACCTCAGGAGTCCCGGAGTTTAAAAAAATAAATAAAAATAAAATAAAGGGTGGCTGGGTGGGTGGGAAAGGGACTTCTCTCTCCTGCTGCCTGACCTCCAGCCTGGCTCTGAGGCGGACCCGTGGGAAACGGAGATTTCCCCCGCCCTTGAGAAATGGTGGAACTGCGGCCGGGGCTGAGGGCGCCCCTCCGAGGGGGCTTGGGTTTACCTGGGTCGATCTGCCAGGATCAGGCCATCCTTCCCCACCGCAGCTGAGCCAGGAGGGTATCGAATCTCTTCTTCCGGCCCTCCTGGCTCCGACACCACAGTGGTTCGTTCAGGCCAGAATCCTCCAGGCAGGGTTAGGGTAGTGGGGGGTCTGGGTATGGCCCCGCCCCAGTCATTCTCTGGGGGTGGGGAGGGGGGGAAAGGTGCAGTCACTTTTCCACACAAGACAGTGAAGAAAGACAGAGTCAGTTTTGGCCCCAGTCCCTACCAGGCAGCCCCCCCCAGGAGATGGCCGCCCCCAGGCGGGAACTCAGTGGCCCCAATCATCCCGAACAAGGCCAGCTGGGCTTCTCTGTGTCTGGCTGTGAGCATGGCGGGTGCTCAGCCCCTCTCCTCTGAGGCTGAACTGATTGCCCTCAGCAAAGGGATCCACACCCCAGCTGTCGGGCGAAGAAGGCACATGGCCACCAGTCATTGAATGGCAGGCTTCCCGTCCCATGTTCTGGACTAAAGGCAACTGCCTGTGGGGTTCTGCCTTGTATGGGGTGACTTTGAAAAGGAAGAGTTCATGGAGGTTGGGGGCACATGAGCAGAAAGGGATCTCTGGCTGTGAATGGTGCTTCTGGAGGGGATTGGTTGGGTTTCTGTGACATCACGGAAGGGCTGATCTAGGAAACCCAGTTTCTGGCTGCCATTTACCAAGTTGGAGAGAAAGAGCAGGAGTGCACAGTCCTTGGGCAGAGTCCTTTTTGGACAACCCCTGGCTGGCAGATGCAGGAACCGTGGTCGCTAAGCTCTCTCTCTCTCTCTCTCTCTCTCTCTCTGTGTGTGTGTGTGTGTGTCAGAAAGAGGGTGGCCAAAGGTTGTTGCCAGGGCAGGGAACCTGATGCAAGTTGCTGAGAGGTGTTTGCAAGAGGCTGCCGAGGATTTCTGCAGGAAGGCCTGGCCCTCTGCCAGGCGTGGGGCTCTGAGGCCTGGGAAGGGGCCCTTTGGCGAGCCTGCCGTCCAGGGCAGAGATGGGAAGGCCAGCCCTCCGGGGTGTCCCACACTGTCCCCCAGAGGGGCCTTGTTTGCACATGCTCTCCCTCTCCAGCTGACTTGCCAGGAAGGAGGGCTTTCAGTTCTGAAATGGTTCAAACTCTGTTTTGATTTCTTTTTCTCAGGTGACCGAGAGGTGACTCACAGCCCCGAATCTGTGCCTGTAAGGGCAGGCAGGCAGGCAGGCAGGCCCTGGAGGACTGGCCCTCCCCAGCTCTCTGTTCTCTTGCTTCCCTGATGAGAGGTGGAACACCAGATGAAACCAAAAGAAGATCCTGCACGGAAATATGACACGGTTCTCTGCGTTTCCCAGAAGCTTTTTGTTTTTTGTTGTCTAAAGCAAAGTTTACTTTTTGTTTGCTGTGGAAATCATGACTGCAGGGTTTCTAAAATTCCTCAGCTCTTCTCATACTAACATCTCTTCTGGCTCCATCAGACAATGACTCAGCAATTGGATCTCACACTTGCACACACAAACACACCCACATGAAAACACAGATCTCTTCCCCAGCTCAAAAAATACGGTCCTACAAGGAAATGAGAAGGTAATTCATGGCCAGAGAGAATTGGTGGCAGATCTGGCTGAAACACCAGACGGGCAGGGCTATCGTTTCATCCATTTATCCCCACATTTAATAAAGTGAACAAAGGAAATGCAAAACTAAACATACTGCAAAACTTTGGATCTCCACTGCAATTCGTGCAAAAGGGTCAGGAAATGGCGATCCTAATTGTTCTGCAGGAGCTTATCCAGAAAGAAGAATCTTCCAGCAGAACAATCCTCTCTGTTCCTGAAGGTGGACATTTCCCTTCCTCTGGAATGTGTGTGAGTGTGTGTGAGAGAGGAGAACCTGGCAGGCTCACCCAGGGGAGCTGGCCATCTGCAGTGGCTGAGGACCCTGGGAACTTTAGCTCACCCCCACCCCCAGTCCTGGGTGCACAGGGACCCCTGATTACTAAAGGGGACCTCTCTCTTCAGAGGAAGCCAGATGTGGGCCTCGCTTGGAGGTTGTGAGATACCTTCTGCTGATTCCAACCCAGGAAAGAGAGCCCTGAGCCAAACAGGCCCCCCCCTTGGGAACCAGGCTGGTGGAGGATGGCAGCTGAACCCCAGTTCCCCCCAGTCCCAGGTGGCTGGCTGAGGGTGAACAGGAGTGTGTGTGTGTGTGTGTGGGGGGGGCTCTTCCAGCTCTCAACTCTTGGCTTACACAGTCTTCTAAACGATGGCCGTCTTCTGGTTCTCTCTGAAACGGCCAGCGTTCAGAAACAAGAGAACGGTGGCGCAGAAACATCTGGAAGGCAGCAAGTTCATCATCCTGCCCTTAGCCCTTGAGGAACAAAAGAATCTTGCCTCCCTTCCCCCCCCCATGTGTGTGTGTGTGTGTACTTTGCACCAATTCTGCTGCTTCTTTTCCTTTCCCTTCCCTCGAAATGCTTGGAATGCCCTGGCATGTGCTCCAGCCCAACAGAGTCCTCCCTTGGCCTCTCCTTGCATCATCCCAAACTCCTGACCCGGAGCAGCCATAAATGGGCCTGCGGGAGAGACGCTTCCCCCAGAGGAGAAGCCTTCCAGGAACCTGGTTGGCTGGCTGAGCGCCTCTGCCCCTCTGGACCCAGGCGAGGAAGGGAGGGAGCCAGGCAGGAGGCTGCCCGGGGAGAGCCAAGGGCTTCCAGGCCCAGCCAATTAAAAGGGGGCAGGGCGGGTGGCAGTGGGGAGAAGGGCACTTTTGCCGGCAGCCCCCGGGAAGCACACCACTCGCCTAGATGGACCCAGGCCTGGGGGCGGAGGAAAGGTTAAGGGTAGACAGATCCAACTGCAGACTTTAGGGGAGGGGGGGAAGGGGGCTCTGGAGGGGCGACTCCATCAACCCTAATTGGCAGGCAGGCAGGCAGGGCAGGATGGACCACTGGGAAAGTTACTTCTGAAAGGAATTTACAAGTTGCCTCAGTCACTTGTTAAGTTAGTTATATTGTTGCTTATTCCACACACACACCCTTTTTTTTTTTTTTTTTGCTCAATACGTAGGATTGATGAGAAGTTTAGACAAAACTAGGAGGAAAGGATCTTCTAAAAATATCTCTAACAATTTCTTAACATGCCCTTGGAAAGTAACTTATTAGGATTCCGGCAAAGTGTTTCCCTCAAATTCGGTGAGTCAGAGCCCAGAGCTTTAAAAGGTGACTCACCATGAAATTCTATGGAACTCGATTCCTTGGCTCTCCCAGGCCTGGAAGAATCCCTCCTGAATAACCCCGGCACTTGGGGGTCGGGCTCTGCCTGGGGCTGGGGGCACAGCGGGAGGCTTCTCTCCCTCCACGGGGGACCCACAGAAGGCTGGCTTTGAGCAAGCCCGGGATGGCATGAATGGGGTTCCGGTTTGGTCGCTGATGTGAGACTCCAATGGAAAGACAGGGGCTGGGAGGAGTGCCTCCCCCCCTCGCCCCACGACAGCTGCTGCGGCCACACAGAAGGGCCCGCCTGCCTTGCCCCCTCCCTTCCCCATGGAGGGGGCAGGGCACCTCCTTTTTATGTCCCTGGATTTCCTTGCACCCCTGCCTGCCACCTCCGCCTGCCCTTCCTGCCATGACTGCAGCTGTGAAGCACCGGGCCAGGGAGGTCTTGGGGATGGGCGGCTGGCCCAGCTGCCTTCTCACCTGCGCTGGGGCTTCCTCTTCCCCTGCCCCTTCTTTCTGGCCTGGGAAGAACTGGGGGGGGGTTGTGATGGGGAGGGCCAAGAGGGGGTGCAGAGAGAGCAGCAGAAAGGGGTGTCGCTCTGCCAGAGGAGGGACCCTCGGCAACCTCTGTGCTCTCGCCTTTGCTCAGGCCCTGAGAACTGGGCCGATGTGGGGGAGCCCATCACAGAAAGGCTGTTTGTGAAAGGCAGGCAAGGGGGTGGGGGTGGGTGGTGGGTGGGAGGCGCCTCTAGATGGTTTTGGACTACAAGTCCCATCGATCCTCGCCAGTGGCAGTCCTGGCTGGGACTGATAGGCCACCTGTTTTGGAGCAAGGCAAGCCTGGTTTCCCTTCCCAGCAGGGAAGGTGGATCGTGGCGAAGCCCCAGCTCTCTTGGAACCGAGGGAGCGTGAGATTTACATCACGCCGCCTCTTATGTAACCAGAGATGAGTGGATGGAGAATCTAGGTTCATGGTAGGACTCCTGGCTTACTCTGTCTTGCTATGGGAGGGTGTAACGCACTGTGGGGTGGGGCCCAGATCCGACTCATTTCATTCTTCTGGCTGGGGCCAAACTTCTAGTGAGTCAGTGAGAACCTAAAATTGAACACAGAAGGAAAAGAAGAGGGAGGGAGGGAGGGAGGGATCCCTTAAGATGAGAAATCCCCAGGGAGAAATCCCCGGGCTTTTGCTCAG